TTCTTGTACCTGCTTTCGGCTGTCAATAATCCATCTATTGTTGTAATTTATGGGGACTAATTGCTAGAATTGTTGGAAAGTTTTGGGTATTTAATTAGTCAGACAATTCGAACATATTTGTATCCTATTTTTTAAGCTAAATTATGTGTTGCCTTGGTGACATATATATATGATCAGGTCTAAGGATTTGATTCTAGAGCCGTGCATCGGTAACTACCGAGGATGCAAGCCCTCAAATGTCACATGCAAGTCAAGTTTGCAGGCCAATCTTTTATCGTCAAGCAACATTTGTGCGCCGGGTTTCTTGTCTTCTACAGGTACATTACTTTGCATCAAGCTTGTTGTTTGATTTTTCCACATTTAATGAAGTTCCGATTACTGAATTCATCACTGATGCAGTTTTTTCTGCTTCAGTAAAGGGAAAAAAGGAAACTAGAAGCTAATTTTGAAACTAATTTGTTGCTGATGTATAATATATTTCTTCGATAATAAATGATATTACTGTCTAATCCATGATTCTAACCTCTTTCTTTTTTATTTGTGAAAAAAAAAGAAAAAGAAATTGGGTGCTCTGTACCTGCTAGAATGCTGCATGATCGAGAAACAGGAATGATAGGTTCATTTCAGAAAACATCTTGACATATTTGTCAGGATACACTCTTTGCTAGCAGCAGCGTTGGCTTTCTGCTACAAAAAATGATGCTCGAGTTCTAGTGTTCTTTTTATGTTTAGCTTTATTTTAATAATTTATGATCCTTTGGCAGGAACATGGCATAAACACCCTGTCGCTTTATCATCACAGTTTCTGGGTGAAGAGGAAGGTGACTTGCTGCATAAAAACCACTTCTTAGCTAGACAGCGAAAATCACGTTTTTCACCAAGAGCATGCAAGGATGATATATTTAAATTTAACTACCCTGTGATAACCGAGAAGCCAGATTGGTGGTGGAGGACTTTGGCATGTGTCCCTTATTTAATAGCTTTGCAGATTTCCAGCGCGGGATATTTTATTCAGCCCTTGGCAGAACATTATGATATTTTTGAAAGTTTCGTTTACTTTGTCCCAGGAGCTATTAGGAGATTACATCCATGGTTCTCAAAGATATATTCCTACATTGGTATTGGAATTGTGAAGGATAAAGATTGGCCTCACTTCTTCAGGTTCCATCTGATGATGGGCATGTTATTGGAGACTGCCTTGCAGTTAATATGGTATACAGGCAATGTTTTTCCACTCATACACTACAACGGCAGGTTTGGGATGTATTTCTGGGCTGGCATTGGATTCTTCTACATCTTAACCTTGTTAATATGTGTTAGGAGTGCTCTTGGTGGCAAGTATGCTCATATCCCTTTTGTTAGTGATGCTGCATATATTCATACACGGTTTAATATAGTGAGTTTTCAGAGGCCGTTCTAGGAGGCGTGCAGTCATCTTTCAAGATTTCAACTAGCGGAGGTCCCTTGGTGGTGTCAAAGACACAGCAATTGGTAACCATGATGAGGCTATTTGAGGAGTGCAAGAGTTGTAGGGGATTAAAACATGTATACATTTTTCCTTCAATTTTCTTTTTGGAAAACTTATGGACTATGAATGCAGATGGAATGTAGCATGTCATTAATAAAGTTGATTAGAATATCAACATGGAGGGGTTGACCTGAAGATCTTAGGTTGCTTAGATGGCTAATAGGTAATAGGGTCCCCAGTTCCCAGTGAGAAAATGATGTTGGTGCAACATCTCTCTCCGGTTGCCTAGTATTATTGAATGATGGGCCTTAGCTTTTGCAAGAATGGATGTTTACGTCTGGATACCCTCCCACTGATTTGATTGCAGTTGGAACCCATGTCTTTCTGTTATTACCACTAATTATGAATTATGTATTCCTCACCTAAAATAATTTAACCCAGCTAGACCTGTTTAATTATTCCTCCCTCGTTACAAATTATCAAATAAACAACTAGACGCCGTTATTGGAAAACCTGGATCCATTGTCAATATTATCAAAGTCAGCCCAGCTCCTAATGTCTTTCCCTTGAGACAGCAAACAAGTTGGATTGGATTTGTATAATGGGACGGTTGGTTTTGCTGCAAACAATTAGACATGCTATGACAAATTCAGAATTTTATATAACGGAGTCATAAATTAAATTAATGATTTAATTCGAAATAAAAAATTAATTATTTTTTTAAAAAAATTAAATTATAATATAAAATTTTATTAATAATTTAAATATAACTTTTTAAATTTATCAATATAAATAAACAAAAAATAGAAATAAAAATTACTATTAGATTTTTATGTTAGACATCTTAAGCTGTGCTCGATTATTATTTCATGCTTTCAAATTCATCTATCATTAAATCATGTGAATGATTCTGACAATCTTTTTCTTAATATAAATGATAAGTGAACCAGTAACAAAATCATTTTTCATCTTATTACGTAATTTCGTCTTTACAATCTTTTTAATTGAAAATGTATGTTTTGTAGTTTCTATAGAAACAAGAAGAATTAAGATAAGTTGAATCAATCGATCTAGAAAATGATATATAATTAATTTTTCTATCTTTATCATTAATTGGTATAACCCTAAGAGAGTTGAAACACTTTGCAAATATGAACCTTGCCTAATATCAAGTTTAAAATGCTCCAATTCATATTTTATATGCAATTAAACAATCTAGGAAAAAAAGAGAAAGAAAAATCCAAAACTTGGGCTAAATGAGCTATGGAAAAAAAGGAAAAGAAAAATAATTTCAAATTTTGAGTTAAGTAAAAAAAGGAAAAAAAATTCAAAATTTGGACTTTAGCTACTTACCACTACTTAAAATTAATTTTTTGACTTTATTTAGGGGTGTTGAAGTTGAAAGAAAAATAATTTCAAAATTTGAGTTAAGGTAAAAAAAAGAAAAAAAAATAATTTCAAAATTTGAACTTAACCCCTTACTACTAGTCAAAATCAACTCTTTGACTTTGTTTAAAGGTGGTAAAGTTCTATTTTTTTAACTTTTATATATATGAAAATAATAAAAATTAATCTTTTGCATATGTAGCATGGATGAGACTAAAATCTCCCTAGCTATGCAATTCTTGATCCGGTGATAAAAGGGAAGGTAGCATGTAAGATTTGATTTTTTTTTATTATTTGAAAAAAGAAAATTTAAATTTTATTTTTTAAATAAAAAAATTATATATCAATTAATGAACTAAATACTCTAATATATATGTAAAATTTAGATTAAAATCCAAGCAATTCAATTTTCATTCCCCAAGTTAATCAAATGTCAACTATTTACATTTTATTTTTTAAAACTGCTATGACTATCAACAAAGAAATTTAAAATAAGTATGTTCTAATTTGGTTACATATAAAAAAAAAATAATCCTAGAAAAAATCACCAAAAAAAAAACCAAAGCAAACAAAGAAGAAAATTACTAAAAAAAGAACTGAAGTACCGGGGGCTTTGTAACTGTATTTGCATCAATCAGAATTCAGACGCAGCCAGCGCTGACATGGCACGATCAGAGCCACCGTTTGGAAAACGACCAACTACATTGACATTCACTTTATTACACAAGTGACACAAAGCACAATCTTAAAACCAACTGTTAAATACAATCCCCTCTGCTTCACTGCGCAACACTTCCCATTCCCTTGACTTAAATCCACATAAAAACAAACTCCTCTTTCTCTTTCATTTCCCGATTTTAATTTCCTTTTTATAACCCAAAAAAAATTTCCTTTTAATGAATCCAGTTTCCTTGTTTTAATTAGATCTTAGACAACTTCTTCAAGGAAGATCACAATTTTCCTGGAAATAGAAGTGGTTTCTAGGGGGGGGAGTCATTGTCCCCGGAACCAGACGGGAGCTGTAGAGCTGTGAAAGATGAGGCGGAGAGGAGTAGATTTTAGGAGGCCAGTGAGGAGGAGGCTCTCCAATGTGGTGTGGTGGACATTGTGCGGGATTGTGGTCTTGGTTTTCATCGTGATTTTGAGCAAGGAGAATCAGATTGAATCAAGACCCACTATATCTAGGGTAAAGATCTGCTCTCCTTTTTTTCTTCTTTCTTTCTTCTTTTTCCCGTGATGAATTTCTTATTGAGATTGAGAACCCCTGCTCCGGTTTCGTAATGTTTGGACCTATTTGAACAAAATTCTATTTTGGGTAATGGTTAAATTATTTGATTGAGGTGAATTTAGGAAAATAATTTTCCCCTTTCATTGGAACGATTAGTTTGCTTTCACTTCTGCCTATAATGTGAATGGGATGTAAGATGGCAGTTGGTGTTTGTATTTTGATTGATCTGTCGCTGCAGTTTCTCATAGGATCTCGGACATTTCAACTTTCGGAGATTTATGTACTACAGAATTCCAACTGTTTTGTTGGGTCATTTTGGTCAGCAAGAGTTTTGTGGGATTGGTTCCTTGTTTGATGCATTACTTTGGATGGATCTATTTAGCTAAAAACGTTTTTGTTTTGATAGTCTTTTTGAGCTAGCTAATATGGTTTTGGAGTATGCTAAAGTTAATCTTGGCAGAAAAAAAATGCAAGTTAGTTTGTCATGTCAATTACCATCTATGCGTAAAACAATGCAGATCATTTAGATTGGTCTTTGTTTTGGTCCAGGACTAGTTCCCTAGATCACTTTTCCTTGTTAGATATAGTAGTTTTGGTACTGTCATTTTGCATGCTAAACATATTTAAGACATTTTGGGAAGTAGAAATCTAAATTGAAGAAAGGTTAGTGCAACTTTGGTAGCTCTGTAAGGACTGAGTAATTTAGCCTCTAAGGAAGTAGAATGGTAATTCCAGACTTAAAAAATGACAAGTGATTGCCAGTTTGGTTTTATGATGTGGTACTATATGCTTCTTTTGTCTTGGAAGCATGCCTTGAAAAGCATATGAGTGTTTTATATGATGTGGGGGGGGGCGTAAGGGGGGGTGGGTTATAAAATGATGATACATCTTATTTGTTCTTAGGTCTAGCTTGGAGGTTTAATCACCTCATCCCTGCAGTGACATATGGTTTGTTTTTGTTTACATCAAATATGTGGTTTAGAAGGGTTATGCATGTAAATTATATGCAATTGAGGAAAAATGGTTTGGTATATTGTTTTTATTCTTAACAGCTGAGTAAGCATATTAGTATCATACTTCTCTAGTAATGAGGATTACTCTTTGGCCCTGTATGCATTAGTAGTTTTGGGCATCTTTTGGAGTTGTAAGATAGAAAGAGGAGAAAGAGGTCTTTAAGAAGCATGCATCATAACTTTAAGGGAAATGAATTGATCCTTAATAAGAGAAAGAGAAAGAATGGATAACCAATAGGAATACATATCAGAAGTGGTGTGCTTCTGTCATGCTACCATTTGCTTTGTGCTATAGGTTTTCAGGATATAGAAGTAAAGAGTACATTATCATGAGACTAGGAGTGGATAACTATCACTGGGGAAAAAGCATGGCTGTTTATAGATGCGGAAGATCCAGAATTTATGTTGATGTAAAGCAACAATTTAAAGATGTATTTGATCTTGTAAAAATTATGAGCACTAGGTTAATATGCAGTGGCAATGTTTATGGGGCTAGGCCATTCCAGATGAGATAGTCTAATGCTGGATATGCCAAGTTGTGTAATGAAGCTACAATTTGTATTTATTAGCTTTTGCTTTTGCAAAGTTCCTTCTATGTGCTGGATCTATATGGACTATGTTTACTTCTCTGCTTTTATTAACTATATTGCAGCTGATAAATCCTGCTTTATATTATAGAATAACTGTTGCCTGGACAAAATCTGGTAGAAAGTTTGTCCTGGCATGTGGGAAAGCCCATTAAGATAATACATACCTTTAAAGGTAGGATGGTGTAAGATCTCATGGATTATTAATTCAAACACAGTAACCTAGTTTCAAGGGTGCTCTTAGACTTTGTCTACTGTTATGACTGTGGTATGTCAAGGGACCTCAGTTTCACATTGCATTTGGTAATTCCTCGATTTTGTAGAAGATAGCAGCAACATCATTTGGTGTTGTTTTTTCCTTTTTTGTTCTCTCTCTCTTTTCCTTTCTGTTGTTTGTTTAGTTGTATAAAGTCTTCTCGTGTTATGGCATCTGTTTGCTGTCCTGCCCACACTCTGTTAACGATTAAACTTACTGGAAAAAATTAAGAAACAAAAGTGAAACCCTTTGGCTTTTTTAAGCCGCAGAGTAGCTGGAGTACATTGTCTTGCATTATTGATATTTGGCATGACCCAAATCATATGACTAGATAAGATTGTTACGGTACCACTAGTCATATTACGAAATTGAAGTAGAAATACTCTTTTGTTCCCCTCCATTCAGTTGTGAAGTTGACAAATATGTGTTTGTATTTTTGTCTGCAGAGACCTTATCGACATGACAGAATTATGGACGGCCTGAACATCACTGATGAAATGTTAAGCCCCAACTCTGTCACTAGGCAACTTAGCGACCAAATTTCTCTTGCAAAGGCTTTTGTTGTGATAGCAAAAGAAAGCAACAATCTTCAATTTGCTTGGGAATTAAGTGCCCAGATCCGTAATTCACAGGCCCTTCTGTCAAATGCTGCAACTAGGCGAACCCCTTTGACAGTTCCAGAATCAGAGACTGCAGTTCGTGATATGGCACTTTTGCTCTACCAAGCCCAGCAACTCCACTATGACAGTGCAACAATGATTATGAGATTGAAAGCCAAAATCCAAGCTTCTTGAAGAACAGATGAGTTCAGTAAGTGAGAAAAGTTCGAAGTATGGACAAATAGCTGCTGAAGAAGTCCCCAAAAGTCTATACTGTCTTGGTGTTCGGTTGACTACAGAATGGTTTGGAAACCCAAATTTACAAAGGAAACTCAGGGAAAGAAAACACTTGGAAGCTAAACTTAAAGATAACAGTATGTATCATTTCTGTGTCTTCTCTGACAACATCCTTGCAAGTTCCGTGGTGGTTAATTCAACAGCTTTAAATTCCAAAAATCCAGATAAGGTTGTCTTTCATCTTGTAACTGATGAAATAAACTATGCTGCAATGAAGGCCTGGTTTACTATGAACAGTTTTCAGGGAGTGACTGTTGAGGTTCAGAAGTTTGAGGATTTCAAGTGGCTGAATGCCTCTTATGTTCCAGTTCTTAAGCAGCTCCAAGATTCTGAGACTCAGAGTTATTATTTTTCTGGCCATAATGATGATGGTCTGACTCCAATCAAATTCCGAAATCCTAAATACCTCTCAATGCTTAATCATTTGAGGTTTTATATTCCTGAAGTTTTTCCAGCACTGAAGAAAGTGGTATTTCTTGATGATGACATTGTGGTTCAGAAGGATTTGTCTGGCCTATTTTCCATTGATTTGAATGGCAATGTTAATGGAGCAGTTGAGACATGCATGGAGACATTTCACAGATATCATAAGTACCTGAACTACTCTCACCCTCTTATAAGAGCACATTTTGATCCTGATGCATGTGGTTGGGCATTTGGGATGAATGTTTTTGATTTGGTTGAGTGGAGGAAGAGGAATGTGACTGGCATCTATCACTATTGGCAAGAAAGGAATGTGGACCGGACATTGTGGAAACTTGGGACACTTCCACCCGGACTGTTGACATTCTATGGATTGACAGAGGCACTGGATCCCTCATGGCATGTGCTCGGGCTGGGCTATACCAATGTTGATTCTCTGTTGATAGAGAAAGGGGCTGTTCTGCACTTCAATGGGATTCAAAGCCATGGTTGAAGATAGGGATAGAGAAATACAAGCCCCTTTGGGAGAAGTATGTTGACTATTCTCACCCTCTATTGCAACAATGCAATTTTCATTGATAAATTGCCATGGGAATCTGTAGTCTTCCACGACAAGTTCACTGCCTTAGAAGCGTCAAATTTTGAGGTCAAGTATGCTTGTACAATTTTAAAGAGGTCAAGCATGGCTGGTGGTTGTAACATGGTATTTAATTCATTTCAACTAGGTTGTTGTAGTATAGATTGTTCATTCAACATCAATTATTTAAAGATCCCTATTAACAAAACAATTTTGATCTATATCATTTAGCTCAAGCTGTAAACTTATACTATGGTAATCTGCAATCCAATCGACCTTCTTTCCAAGTTTAATCATATGCTTATGTTTGCTTTCTAAGTGTGGAATCTCTGAGCTAATGAATAATGTTCGTTTGATTGTTATGATGTTATGATTAAATATGCAACTGGCTTATCTTATGCTTTTCCTGTGGATATCATTTGGTTAGATCAATTAATGTTATATAAATTCGCATTATTTTTCAAGATAGCTGAACATGCATCACTTTGGTGCATTTGTGTTTCCTATCTCATTCAGATAGTTTGTATTTATTCCCACGTTGATGGTGTCTTTAATTTCCAAGGTCCTTCTCATTGTTATGGGGGACAATAAGAGCTAGGAATAATGAAATGCATCATTAAATCTCTTTCATCCTCATTCACCAGACCTTCTTAAACAGCCAATATGTTGAAAAGGATTGTGGACATCAGTCTTTTCGCGCTCAATCTGTTCTACATCAGATGACGACAAGTTTTAACTTTACCATTGTTTCGTCTAACCGACGGATAACAACAGATAGGGGAAGGACCACTGGAAATCGTATTCTTTAATTTTAATCAAATAAAGCTTTCCGTACGGCAGCAAGAACCAGGTCGTTGTAGTATAGTGTAAGTATTCCCGCCTGTCACGCGGGTGACCCGGGTTCGATCCCCGGCAACGGCGAACCCTCTTTTTATTTGTCTCTGAAACACCATATCGCTGCTGAGTCTGAGTGAAGCAGACAAGCAGTGTTGTACCTCCGTGCTCCGTCCCTCAAAAATTAATAATTGGATATTTTCCTCAACTCTCCCGGTTTATCTGCCCGTACGTTTTTGAGTTATTTAGCCACATGGCACAAGATCCAGAATGCCGGCACCAAAAAAAAAAAAAACCAGAACAGAAGAGAATCCTTGTAGAGCCACAAACACTGCCACTTCTCACTCTTGGAACTTGTCTGGTAATGCCCAATGCAAAGGGCATATCAATAATTTCAGTTCCTAAGACCTTTGAATAATTAAATCCCATATTCCCATGTCCCTCGCCGGCCAAACTCTCTCTAATCTTTTTCTATTTTGCCGCCACTTTCAAATGTTTGTTTTTCTTCTCATCCATTTCCCTGACGCATGCAAACACTTCACTTGTCAAATCTTCCCTAATTTCTCTCCGATTGATCCCTTTCTTTTCCGAAACCATGAAAAGTGACGATGAACCAGCAGTGGCTGAGCATTCTCTGAAGCCGCGAAGATCCAAGTCCCGTGAGGTTTGCTCTCGCTTCCTTTCTCCAACCTCAACACCGCCTCATGATTCCGTACTCCGGTCTCCAAACAAAGCCTTGTCCCCTCTCCGACGCAAATCCACCTCCGTTGACACGAGAAAGCATCGCAGCCTTGAAGAGCCCAGCGGCTTACTTCGAGGCCTATGGCCTTCATCCACCCCTTCTACCTCTTCAACATCAAATGGAAAACTCGATACTCTGGCCGATCATCTTGGAAACGAGAGGCTTAACGATTTTCTCGAGCGAAAAAGCCATGAGAAAAGAACAAATAACGGATCCTTTTCACTTACTAGGCAAAGAAGTCATACGGAATTCAGTAGATTTGTTGAGAATGAGAAACAAAGTGCTAAAGAAAATCACAGACCTTCTCTTGTTCTTGGGGGATCCATGAGGTACACGGCTAAGCTTGGGTTTCCCAAAAAACCATCGTCCTCGTCAACATCATTATCATCAACATCTTCTTCCCCAAATATTTTTCCGGGAAGATTTTCTGTCGATGAGAGTGTTCTTTATAAAAGATCATCATCATCATCTCAAAGGAAATCAGATTTTTTGACGGATGATAATTTTGTTCTTGATTCTGAATCTGAGTTTAGTGACCAATGTTCAGCCTCAAATAATAATTCTCCAGCCATAACAAAAACTAATTCTTCTCTGAGTTCTAGAAAATGTGGTATAGATGTTTCTTCCAAGTATTTGCAAGAGGTACCAGCAAGGAATAGACCAAGGGGCACTACTTCGGATTCAAGTATTCTTAATCCGGTGTCAGCTGATAGTTCTCCAAAGGTGAACAAAAAGTTTACCATTAAAAACGCCATAAGAAGGGCTAATTCACTTACAGGACATGGTACTGCTACATCACAGTGGGCGTTATCACCAGGACGGTCAGGATCTCCACCAATGTCAGTTGAAAACAAGGTTGTCAAGCCAATGTCATTTTCGAGTTTGAAACCGCCTTCTAGTCCTTCCAGAAACAGGGGTGTGGAGAAATTGTTGAATTTGGGATTAATGGATTTGTTCAAGAGTAAGAAGCCTTCTGCTTTGCAAGTGGGTTCGGGTGATGTGGAAAGTGTTCATCAACTGAGATTGATCCATAACCGTTTGATGCAGTGGCGCTATGCAAATGCTAGAGCTGATGCTGTGAATAAGAACACAAGTAATCAAGTTGAGGTGCGTATACTGTGTTGTTACTCATATGAAGAAACAAAAAGGATCAAATTAGGTATAATGGAAAGGTTAATTACATTTTAGTAATTACTAGGAGTAGAAGACTTATAGGACAATACCGGATAAAGATGTATGGTCAAATACTCATAACTTAAGTAACAGTTGGCATGCCATTTGACATATGTTTGACTCCGAAAGCAACCAAAAATCTACTGGAATTTGGTACATCATGTCCTGTCTACGTGAAAGGGGATTGAAAATCAGATGCTTCAATTTCTCAAGCACCCTGAGTCTCTGACTTGCTAACATCAGTCAATGTCGAAAAGGATTTAGAAAAGTTGGTTGTTGAGAACTAGAGATAAGGATTCCTCCCAAAGAAGAGAATATATCAAAGTATTGATGTTGAATGTTGTTCTTATGACCTTTTAATTATGTTCTGTTTGAAGAAATGTCTATTGGTAAGCACCTTTACTTATCTATCAAGCTTCAGTTTGATGAGGGGCTATTCAGATTGGCTTGGCCATGTTCAGACAATGAGGTACCACAAAATGAAGTTTGGGACATGGATCCATAAGAATTTCCAGTAAATCCGTGGGCATTCTAAAATGTTATTGTGGTAGCTAAGTACACCATTTTATCCACAATTTTTTGCTTCTTTGAATAATTCGAAAGTTAGAATTAGATCAGAGAGATGACTTTTAAATTTCTGACATTTCAAAGGTTGCAAGGTAATAACTAACTTTTAATGATTGTACAGAACTATTTATTATCTGGGTGGAATAGTACTGTGAAACTGCAACATTCAGTGCTACAAAAGAAATTAAAGCTTCAGAAGGAAAAGCTTGAGATCAAGATGGACTTTATACTTCAATCTCAAGTTAGTGCCGGCTAGACCATCTTTAATCATACTTACTAAAATGTTTACATAATTATGCCGTTGGAAAAACTATGCCATTTGATTTGGTGATCATACCTGACTATTTGTAGATGAAGGCATTGGAATCTTGGGCGGATATGGAAAGACAACATCTAGCATCTATTTCCATGACTAAAGAATGTTTGCATTCTGTTGTCTGCAAAGTGCCTCTTATAGAAGGAGCAAAGGTAGAGAAAGAACTTTCAGCAGTTGTTTTTAGTTGTTGATTAGTTATACAAAAACATGTTGAGTGACAAAAGCTAGGTGTTTAGGTTGATGCACAATCAGCTTCAATGGCACTTCGACATACATCAGATCTCACTGCTTCGATCAAGTCAATGCTATCTGCTTTCTCACCAGTGGTATGAAAATTTCAAATATGCTAGTATTCTCTGTAATGTTTAAAATGGCCCTCACCTTGAGATGTTATCTCAGACCGAGAAGACGGTGTCATTACTTTCGGAATTAGCTGAGGTGGTTGCTCAAGAAAAGCTACTAATAGAGGAGTGCCTCGAACTTTTCAGGATGATATCTATCTTAGAGGTAAAATTGACCAGTTAATAACATGTAGTTCTACATTGATACATGAATTGGATATAGAATGATATCGCAACATCAATCTAAGTATGTTTAAGCCCCCAATTTGCATGACATCTCTTTCAAGCATTAAAGCTAAAAAGACTTATATTTGTTTATATGTTAAATCTCACAACACTTGCTGCTACCATGGAGTGTGGATGTTTAAATTAGAAGTCTAATGTAAATGGTCACACATACATGTGAAGATTGCATAACCTTTGCGCCGATAACTATATATCTTGTTGTTGACTGTATGTTGTTTAGAGATTGGATATGGTTTTCATGTGATTTCTAATCTGGCAGACTCAAGAGAAGAGCTTAATGTGCTATGTTATTCAACTAAATTCACAGCAAAGGCAGATGCAGCAGCAGCAACAAGGGCACCAAGAAATCCTTCAATGACTTCTTCATTCATCTAAAAGTAGAAAAAGGAAAAAAAAAACATTACGTGGACTAAAAAGAAGTTTCTGGTGATTGTTTTGCACTATGGCAACAACATCACCGGCCGTATGAAATGATGCGATATCTGGTTGTTTAAAATCTGAGGCCTGATTTACTTGCAGATGTCATGTAAATCTGATCACATGCGCCTAAAATGATGGGAGAAAACTCCAATATTTTACTATGATTTCATGTTCCTTCAGGGGATGCTACTCTCCTGATAATGATGCTCGTATATGTTTTTCACTCACTAATAATTGTTCAAGGGAGAGGCATACTTAGCGTGTTTTGCTTTCTACCAATGAAGTTATCATGACAAAGATATTGTACGCACGCTTCTGTCGAGCTGGGAAGAAAAGGAATGACTACATAAGCTTTTTGGGAAATTGCCCTACATGTTTCTTCTATCCTTTTATTCTTTATTACTTTTTGGTCGAAACATGTTCGGTGTTGGAGGCCACAACTTTGGCAATGCCAACAAAGAATGAACACACCAAACATAGGGCCAATGACATATAATTTGAGCACTACCATGGTCATATAAGATCTTCGAATTGGAATAAAATTTTCATTTATATTGTTGCTAGCCTGTTAATTAATGTGGATACATTAATTATCATCAGGAAGAACGCAAGACCAAGTAAGAATGTAATCTGAAATATATTCCAGCAAGGACAAGTTGCCATTTGGCATGTTATCTTCTATGTTAACGATACTCTCCATGTTAAACTCTTTTTTTTTTGGCCTCTCCAGTCCATGTTGATTTGCAGATTCGGTTGGTAACAAACTGACAATTAGATAATCTACATGCACGCCTCTAACCAAATCCAGTCCTCAAATAAGTCCTATCTACTAAACATGAACCTTAGTGTGCTTAATTTCCCGGATGAGGCCCCGCTCTTGTTGCCCTTTCCGCCAAATTTCATGGGGAAGAAGCCCATAACGCCCATAACGCGTTAGAACCTGGCTACAGCAGGAGCAGAAGAAGGAGGAAACATTATTGAAACAAAAGCCCCGCTGAAGAAGTAAGGACCTGTTTGAGGCTATAGAGAAGGACATTGACTCCATCAAGGCTGCAGAAATGAATGATCTCTTTTCTAGTTCATTCAAAAAATACTCGGACCTCAAGCAACAAGCCTACTCGGACAACTTGGAGGCTGCTGGTGAGGCTTGGAAAGAGACTGTGAACCTTGACAAGTTCTTTGAAGATGTAGACAATGTCAAGGATGATATGGGAGTGGTTAAGCAGCTCTACAAGAGGTTGCAAGAATCAAATGAAGAGACCAAAACTGCTCAGAATGCTAAAGCCATGAAAGATCTTCGAGCTCAAATGGACTCTGATGTTGAGCAGGTCTTGAAACGGGTCAAAGTCATTAAAGGGAAACTTGAAGCACTTGAAAGATCAAATGCCGCTCATCAGAAACTTCCAGGGTGCGGTCCAGGATCATCTGCTTATCGAACCAGGACATCTGTAGTTAGTGGCTTAGGCAATACACTAAAAGATATGATGGATGATTTTCAGGGGTTGAGAGCAAAAATGACAGCAGAATATAAAGAAACAGTTGAGAGAAGATATTTTACGGTAACAGGACAGAAAGCAGATGAAGAAATGATCGAAAACCTGATAGCAAGCGGGCAAAGTGAAACGTTCTTTCAATATCAAGGCCGAGGACAGATTCTGGATACAATTTCAGAGATACAAGAGAGGCACGACGCCATTAAGGAAATTGAAAAGAACTTGGTTGAGCTTCACCAACTGTTTCTGGACATGGCTGTCCTGGTGGAGGCACAAGGGCTGCAACTGAATGACATCGAGAGCCATGTGGCTCATGCCAGTTCCTTTGTTGTGCGAGGGACTGAGCAGCTTGAGGTAGCTAAGGAATATCAGAAAAGTTCAAGGAAATGGGGCTGCGTTGCTATTGTTCTTGGCGTCTTTCTCGTTGTTATTATCTTATTTCCAGTTCTATCATCAACCATAATTAAGAACACATAGAGTTACGAAATGCTTGTCCCGAATTGGATTCAGTCTTCCTTGAAGAAGCGCAATGCAGGAGCCCACTTTTCCAATTATTTGGCTGCAGTTGTTTTATGAGCAGTTTCTTTCCTTGATTTTCTTCTTTAACATCCAGTGTTTTTCAAGTCATTTTATTGCCATGGGTGAAAATATATTCTGCATAGCTTCATAACATGGACACAGACAGAATTAAGATTAGTCATTTTAGTCATGTGATTTCTTCTTCCTTCCAGGAATCATGGGTTTTTTTTGTTTACTGTCAGATCATGATTAATTAGAAACTTAAATGTCTTCCTTCTTTAGGTTTGAGTACTTGGCTAATTGTTTATTTCCCTCACTCTTCTGATTTAAGTAATTGTCATGTTGCTGTATAAACATTGGCAAATCCAGATTGAACCTTTACCACGAAGCCAGAACTGCTTTAGGCTCCGTTTGATACAACTATGGTAGAGAGAGGAGAATGCAAATGTAAAATGTCTTACTCCCTTAAACACTGTTGGTTTATAAAATACTTTATATTCATATAAATTATTTTCCTTTCAAACGAAAAAAGGGTTAATGAGTGAAATCTTTATAATGTTTTTTTATACTACCAATTGAATTAATACGTAAGAAAAACAGAATTAGAACTATATATAATTTAAATTAAGTTCCAAAATAACATTGAATAGAATGTAACACTTACAAGTAAAAATAAATTACATTTCATTTGTTAACAAAATTCAAAATTTTAATTTTCAGTTCTAAAATAAAATTATTTTTTACTTTTGCATCTCACTACATTTTATGCATTTTATACGTCAGTAAATTAAAACCCTCAATTTATTGGCCAAAGCGAAAACTAAAAATCTCTAATTAATTGGAAACATAAACATAAAAATATGTTAACGCACCCTTTTAGGTGTTTCACCAGTTTCAACTGGTAATGCGATCCAAACGGTGTCGTTGGGTATCCCATTTCTCCAAACAATAGCCGATTTCTTCCCCGTCTTCCACTGCCAGTTCCATTGTAATTTGTAAACCGTCATCGACTCCCTTTCGCTCCCTCCCTCTTAACCCTAGACAGAGAAAAGGGGAAAAAGCAACGACTCAGATGGCTACTTTGGCAGCGATTGCAGCTCGTAGAGCAGCGACTCTAGCTCGAACACCGACTCCTTCTCAAGCCGCTTCTCTTATTCCTCGCCGTGGTCTCGCCGGCGCCGCAGGCATTCTCCATCTAACTATTTGCATATTTTTATTTTCAATTTATATTTATCTTCAATAAATGTGAAATTTTCTTGCCAATAGCTTCAATGTTAATCTCATTTAACGTTACATCATATTTGTAACTAAAGGATCAAAGAAGTGAAGATCATATTTTTACAGAACATTTCTTGAACTGTTCTGGTTTTTTTTTTTTTGGCAGATCACCACGGACCTCCAAAGGTTAATTTTTGGCAAGACCCAATGAGCCCATCTAAATGGAAAGAAGAGCATGTCAGTGTGTTTCTTTCATGCTTTCTATTTGAGCTTTGCCCTTCGTTTTCTTACCCTAGTTCTAGGTTTTTCTTTTCGTGTTCTTTTACTTTGCAGATCGGGAAATTGGGTTAGATTTAATTTACCTAATTTAAGCCCTCTCCTTGCGGAATGTGGCATTTCATTCATTTCAAGTTAAAATTTTGTTGAATTTGAGCAGTAATTATGTCACAGCATATAATCTGATGTTTTAATCGTTATAGTTTGCAAGTTTATAGGCGCTGTTTTTGAATCAGTGTAATGCATATTGGTGAAGAAACATATGTAGCAGCAAGTAGAGAAGGCGTGACTGTGGAAACCGTCTTGACTTATTTTTATGGTTTTGCAGTTTGTGATTGTCTCTTTATCTGGTTGGGGTCTGCTTATCTTTAGTGGATACAAGTTCTTCACTAAAGGCAAAGGCAAGAAGGAAGAGGTAATATCTAATGAACTTTGCTTATCATCATATGGGGAGACTTCTGTGATTCGTGATGTGATCTCCATTATGGAATAGCTGTCTGGAATGTCTATCACAAATATTGGCTAAGCTTGACGTGTGTTGTGATTTCTGTACTGAGTCGGACATAACCAATTTATATGGAGATATTTCAACCTCAGATTACTATGTTCTTTGATATTTACAATTTTAAACTGCCTAAAATTATTTCATGATAAAATTTGCAAGTTTAAATAGGTTAAGGTCATTCTATCACATTAATTCTTGGTGCACTCAGTCACTTTGATTAGCATATATGAGATTGTGTGCATGTTTCAGGTCTCAAATGCAGTTAATGTTCTCCATTGATATTCCATTTCTTGATGGTCTTGTGGATGAGCCTATGTTATCAAGCATATAATGAGTTGTTAGTGGAATGTGGGTGCATAGCAATTTGTAAAAACAGGCTGGAATTTCAAGCATGCTAGCGGATGTTCTGTTTTTGTTGTATATGTATTCTGGCTTCTCCACTCAGTTTAGTTTCTGTTTTGTTGCAGAACCTGGCGGAAGCAGCACAATGATGAGGTTGGAGCTTTTATTTTTTAAGAATATTCCCAATAATAATGTGTTTTGCTGGAACGTTCATGTTCTTGGATATGTTTATTTTGGCAAATTATTCTGTTTTCCTGTTCATCATTTCTTTTTCTCTCAGAGAATGATGAGTGACTAAACTTGGAGGTCAGTTATTAATCAGTGAACAAACAGCCTGTTTCGTTGGCTTGTCCCTTCTTTAATGGGATGTAACCATTTTTAAGATCCAAACTCAATTGATGGATTTGACAAGTTAATGAGCTATGCTTTTGTGCATATCCTGATTGGCCTTATGATAATCAATTAATTCTGATGGAGAATATAAAAGTAGTGAGCAATCTTTAGTTTTTTAGTTTAATATCCTTGTTTATTTTGATCAATAGTTTTGAACTTAAGATTAGTAACATGTGATAGATTTGATCTTATATCAATAGCAGGAATTTTATGTAATGCTTGGATTTCAGCTTTTAATATGGGTTACTGTTTTTGCTTCTAGTCCCAAGCCGGAAACTGGAGGGATTCACAAAGCAAAATTTTCAGGGAGCTTAGCGTACTATGCTATTATTGGCCATGTTAGTGTTCGTCCAGTAACTGGTGTTTCTTTAGATTTATTGAACTAGAATGCTAGAAAAAAGATAACGATGTGAAATGCAAATGCATATATATAGGGTAGAAAGAGATGGGGGATGATTGTTTTGAAGTCCTGGGTTGGAAGTTGGGACCATTAAGAGGGATGACTGCTTGTATGAATGAGAAACCAAGTTAGGGGAGACGAAGACTGCTTAATCATCCATTTCAAAACTCATACAAATGTCACTCAGAAAAGAAAGAAAGAAAACCATACCAGGTGATAAGCTACATAGATGTCCACGGTATAGTAAGCAATAATACCCGTGGATTTAAATATTCTATTCTATTACTTTATGTTGGAAAGAAAAGGTTAATATTTTTTACTTGAGAATTGAGATGCCTTTTTGGAGGTACGGTGCAAATAGGTGTTCCGCTGTGCATAAAAATGATCATAATCCTCCTAGCTCCAGCTTGGTTCGATAACTTTTTAAACCTTCACATGATCCTCTATTATTACAGTCTGCCTAAGTTTCATCTTTCCCTGTCACCGACGATATATTCCGGCTCATGCCAAGAAATTTTAGGCATTAACCATGGCGCTATTTTTCTTTTCATGAAATCTAGTCAGTAATTGGAATTCATAACAAATCTCTATAAAAGATTTTTACTTTGTCCACTTCTTCCAGGTATTTGCTTTGCATATCTGTTCTCTCTTGGTAGGAATGTAGGATATCCAAAATTAAAACCACATGTTTGACCACGATGGAATATAGTGATTATCACCTATTTGGGAGGATCAGCCTTTTTCTTCTCCATTTAAATCTAAACATAGTTACTGCTAAAAGCAAAGACAAATTAATTACTGATGTAAGAGCAAGACAGGTATTTGAAAGCTCTACAACTAGGACAGAACAAAAGTTCTGTTGATTAAAACTCGGACTCATCGGTTTCCTCCTTGTACCCCTCTTTTTCTTCCGAATCAGACATAAAGTCGCTGGAAAGGTCACCATTAGCTGCTTCTGTCTCTGGTTCTTGTTTATCTGCAACCTCCGTATCCTCTTCCATGTCATCTTTGACAACGGGATTAAGTTCGGGTTTCTTCTCCAGTTCCTTGACCTCCCTGCTCTTCATATTCTGTTTGATGTGACTGGCAGCTTCTTCAACTTTCAGCTGCTTGACATGATGTGTATAATTACTGGCTTCGGCATTGACACCTTTTTTCTCTGGTACTTCCCTGGCGAGAAATTTATCAGGGTATCTTGACATTGCGTTCTCTCCCTCCACCTCACGACTTGTCTCTGCGCTCACTTTTCTTTGTTTCACATCCTCAGTGTCTTCAGAGTTCTGGCGCTTCAGAAAATTAACTTTTGTCAAATCCATTTCCTTCCTCATACCTGCTTCTGTTGCTTCTCTTTCCGCTTTCCCCTCGTTAGAAACTACTCCCCCTTCACTGCTTCTTGCTTCATCTTTATCTGCTTTTGAAAATCTTCTACTTCTCATGCTTGCCACTCCATCTAGCTCAGAATTTACATTCTTCTTCAGGAACCTATTCCTAGCAAGAATTCTCCATCTTTTCCCCTTTGCTCTGCTTAAATGGTCAAATCTCCCTGACAATCCTGAAATTCTAGAATTGTCATCTATTCCGAGTTTCCTTCCACCTTCGTAAGTTCCTTGGAGTTTTTGACTCTCACCTTCTGGGCGGGGATTTTTAAGTTCTCCAAGCTGCCCGGCGTTGGTAATTTTCAGTCCTTGTTCATCCATGTCATTGATTGTTTCAGTGGCATTCGCATGATTCATTTCCCCATTCATTCTAGAAGTACCTGTATATTGAGAATACTCATTTCCCATTTCTCCAGCGGCTCCCTCATTTCTGGCTTTTTCTTCCAAACTTACCGGTTTCTGCAGTTGTCCTGCACCAGCCATGTCCATTCTAAAAGTAGTCTCACCCTTTTTCTTGCTTCCATCTTCAACCTCTTCTCCATTGTGTTCCTCTTGAGAAAAATTGAATTTAATCTCACTTCTGTCCTGATCTTTTGTGGAATCGTCACCATCCTTGTATGCAGTAGATTCATGTACTCGGCCACCCTCCTCTTGGCTGAACTCTGTCTTTTCCTTTTCTTCCATACTTCCTGTAACTGTTACATTTACTGGCAGATTTGATTTGTCATCAGTACTCACGGACCAAACTCTAACTGGGGATTTAAGACGGTGTTTCAAGACCTCGATTTCAGCCTCCTTTTGCTCCAAAGTTGCTGTTAGAGCTAAGACCTGAGGATTTTCTTTCCCTGAATCAACGTGTTTCTCTTGTAGCACTATAATCTCGTTTTGTTTCTCCTCCAGTGCAGACTCCATGGTCTTTTGTTCATCTTTAAGGGAATCAATTGCAGATTGCATCTCCAAGAGCCTATGGTCAAGCTCCATTTTTTGGTTTCTAAGGAAGTATATCTTTGCTTTCGTCTCTTCAGCTTCCCTTTTCATTTCTTTCGTGTATTCTCTTTCCTTCTGTGATAGAAAAGAATGCAACAGTGTTAATATTTACAACCTTAATAGTGTTGAAAACATCTATTTTATTTAACACCTAAATGTTTTCCTCTCTGTTTGGTATGTTAGGTGTATATATGTCCTAAAAATAATAATTATATGAACGTGTACACGTGTTTGTTGTAAAAAGGAAGAGAAGAGTGAAGAAAATGCATAAATGGTTAATTAATTTATTAAGTTTTTATATTAGTTATTAAAGTAATATAGAGCCTAAGTGTTGGAACTTCCCAACAAGTTACTCGACTAATCTCTTATGTTAATCACTAAAGGTGTGGTCTCAAGTTTATATTTTCTCTAGAACAACTTAATTAGTAGATCAGTTAGTCAATTAAGTGAGCAAGTAATCTCTGGAAAAAACAAGTTAGTCGACTATTATAATAGAACTAAACACAAAAAAAAAATTATAAATAGTTTATAGAAGCATTAACAACAATATCTAACAATCAAATGACCCAAAAACTCTCTCATTCTTCATCTTGCCTATAATTTTCCAGATTAACTTCCAAGTGAGTTCAATAGAATTTCAGAAATGCAGCCTTTGAGTGTCTATTCTTTTAAGCATTTCTATCGTGGAGATACTGTTTCCAAGAGGCCATCTGCATCCTTAAGATAGCTTCCTAGAAGTGTCTTTGTGTAAAATCTACTCTAAATCTTGATTGCACGTATACACACATATATACAACAAATTAAGGATACCAGTCTTCTCCAATGGAGTTTGATGAGTCTTGTTGTGTTCATGACGCGGAGAATTGTATCTAAAATAAGACATGGAATAAAATCTAGAAAGTTGTCTTTTGAATTCAGTTTTTGGAAGACAATGAGAGAGATGTAGTTGCCTGCAATTCTTCTTCCTAGTTCAAGCTTGGAACATGATAACTTTTTCCGACTTCTTGCTTCAGCGATTTTGCATTCTAACAAATGCAAGTACGTTTGAAAAGCAAAAAAAAAAAAAAAAGGGCAAGTGCTACGAAAGGGCAAGATACTTCTTCACAGAACTAGCTAGGTTTGGTTCTTCTCATTTGAGACGTTATCACATAATTAGAGAGATGATCAAGTGTAGTGATATAAAGATTAAGCATGTACCCAAAAAGGATAATTTGGCAAATCTTTTTACTAAAACTCTGTCCAAGCGATCACCACATGGGAGGTATGGGTATTAAATACATAAATGATTGACTTTAGTACAAATGAGAGATTGATAGTATAGATGTATGTCCTACAAGCCAATTGGATTGGTTGTATAAACAAAGTTAATTGCTTTGTGCATTTAAAGTCCATGAAATGAATATGCCGTGCAAAAAATAAAAAAATTATAAAGAGTCAAATTATAAAATTGTTATTGCATCAAAACATCACTTCTAAATTGTTCTTAATTGATACTCTATCAAGACCGAAGATTGATAAAAACTAAGAAACTAGCACTTGTGATGTTTCTTACCGGTGAAGTAAATAATTGATTTTATAGATTAAAATATAAAGAGAACATGTGGATGCTTACTATAAGAATAAGTTCTTTGAATATGATCCACCATAAAAATTTCATTTGGTAATTCACTCAAATGCCTATAAAAATATTCTCATATGCTAGTTGTGTAAATGATTCTTAGACTTGAGATAATTAGGTAATTTTATGTGGAGATTGCTATACTTTGATACTAACTTAAGTAGTCCTAACCAAAAATTTACAATGTAATAGATATTGAAAATAACATGGAACACATGAAACATAAATGAATGGTCAATAATAATTCATCATCCTAAGTGATATTAAGTGAAATATCTCATTATTTCTTGACATGTCTTACTTAAAAAAATTCCTTAACCAAGATAGAATGAAGATATGAAAAATGATTTTTTTTTTCAAATTTCAGTTAAGTGTTAAAGAACAAATTTCAAGAACTAAAATGATTAGGACAAATGAAGAGTAGACATGACAAACTTCTTTGGAAAATGAGTTTTTGTGAATTACATTGATAGTTTGAGCACTAAGGATTAAGTCAAACTTCTTTGACTCTTCTTAATATTTAAGTAGTTATGATAAATTGCTAAATGTCAATATTGATTTATAAATATAAACTTATCAATTTGGAAATTGATGATAAATGCAAAAGAATTTGATTCATTTAATCTTAATAATTCATTTTAGAGTATAATTTATATTTACTTGCTAACATTTTTTTTTTTGAAATTTTACTTACTAATATGTTAAGAAGTCACACACATAAAAAATAATAAAATAAAATATAAAATGTGATAATTAAATTGAATTTAATTATAAAGAAATTTAGACTTCAAAAGATTTAATTGAAAAAATAAGATTAAGTCAAAGACAATTTTGTAATTAACATAAATGTTATGTTATATTTAAAGTTGCTTATAAATATATATTTCCATAATACTTAAAAAAAACCTCTAAACTATTCAAAAAAATTCAAATAAACTCTTATTTTTTTATTACTTCAATCAAACTCTTATATTTTTATTTTGAATCAAAAAAGCTTTTATGATTAATAGTTTATTATTAATCAAAATATTATTTATTATTTTTATATCATATAACGTTGACGGTGATATATTAACATATTATAACATTGGCATGTTAATATACAACACAGTATATATTCAGCTTTGTGTTTGCATCATTGCATGTATATGCACATCTACATGCTTAGCATATGCGTAAAATAAAAAACATATGGAAACAAACTGTCCAGGAAACTTAAAGACAGGGAAGGACGTATGTATCAAAACTTTGGAATTATGCTACTCCTTGGATTTAACAGTACTGAAGTTGGAGGAAACTATACGTGAAAAATGTGAAATTTTATATCAGCACACAAATTTATTAATTACTAGCTAGGGCAAGATTTATTATCTTTCATTCCCAAAAATTACATGCTCTGCATTTGTACTCTGTTGTAGACTTACGGCAAACAAAGAAAACTAGGCTATAAGACATTTAATTTAGACAGATTAAGAGCGAAGAGATTTTAATGTTTAAGCTCAGCCAAGTAGTAGCTAGTTGCGGTATAGCCTTTGGGCCAGGAGATGAAACCTGAAAAGAAAATCCTAGTGGCGATCACATGGCAAGACTTGCATCTCACTAAAATTTGTGAAAATGTCAAACCCATCATTAAAGTTGGAGGAGTTTGCTCTCTAAATACGCAACGTTGGCAATGAACGATGCACCTTGAAGAGTATTTGCAAGAGCCCATGAGACTCCTCATTCCCAATATCTTAAGAATTTTATTTGTTCAATAAGGCATGGACCTAATATATAGTTTTCCCATGCATCATTGGCTACGAATGGCCTTCACGATTGCACAATGCACGAGATATGGTGTTTCATTAAACATTGTAAATTCCTCCATGAATCGCAGAAAGAAAGTTTATTTTTTCGGTTTAAAATCAGATCGACGTTACCCCTTTAAAAATAAAAAGAGAGAGAAACCTACGTTACCCTCTTGGATCGTCAAAACAAAAACAAAAGAGAAAATGCATGATGCTTCTGATTTGTCACTGAAAGAGAGTGACACGTTACAAGTAACATGCATGCATGGTGGAGAGAGAAAGAAAGTAAAACCTGCAACAGGAGCTGAAGAGAAATGAGCTGACGGTTCTTGTCTTCGACAAGGAGGTTGAAGATGCGTCTCTCCCTGAGCTTGTGCAGCACCATAACACCAAGCAATGCAGCCCCAAATGCCACAAGTAGCATCAAGCCATATGGTCGTCCCCTGTTGCTGTTTCCGTTTCGTTTATGAGATACTCCTCCCATCGCCATCTTTCCTTTTTCTTTCTCCCCTCTACCTGTTGGCAGAAAAAGAAATAAAAAGAAAGAATCGGGCCACTCTGTCCTTTTTGTGGACTAAGATGTTTAAAAGGAGAGCTGGCGTTGGTTGTTGCTTGTCATGTAAAAAAAACCATGCAACTATTCTATTTTTCTCTCTCTCACTGGAGCGGAGTTCACAAGGTCGGTTGGAGAAGCATGGGAGCTGTTTCCAGGCGCTGATTCTGGAGACTTAGGCATTATTTTCAAGTTTCAATGTTCCCCTCTTTATTTTACCACAATATCCTCCACTGTTGTTGAAGTCGCAAGCAAATTGCCAGGTTTTGAGGGTTACTCTCCTACCAGCTAGTCACACCAAGCCACATATATAGCCTTGCAGCAAGCAAAAGAAGGGGTTGTGCATTGCCATTATAGCCCTTGTTTTTCACCTGACGACTTAAAAAACCAATCAAACCAAAGCAAAGCTTGTTAGTTGTGACACACAAACTGTACCTAAGTTGTTGAACCAAATAATTGTTTCCTTAATTAACCCTCTAATTCTACTTAAGTATCTGCAGTCCTACCATTCTTAAATTTTGATGTTCTCTTTGTGGAATCATTCTTCAAACAAATCATACAACAGTCACTCATTTTTGTTATGATGGTCTTCAATTCTAAATAGAGTTTGACTAGGATAATTTAATTTTAGTTAGATTAGTATATTTTGCTAAAATACAAGAAGACTTCAATAAATTAATTTTTTGATATTATGAAAATTTATTAATTAATCGAAATATTATTTAATTAATAATTTAATAATTTAATAATTTATATATTAATTAATAAAAATTAATTTATCAAGATATTTTTTATTTTTTTAAGCATTGAACTTAATACATGTATTGCATATTGTAATTATATGAATATTAGCTAAATATTAAATTACAAATTATTATTATTTACGACAAGTAAATTATTTAGAATGTCCTGGGAAATAACAAAGAAGATAAAATTAAAGGCGATAATTCTATATTGAAATTTATCTTGCACAAAGATGCACTTAAAGTAGCAATTACATTGCATAATTTTCTCTATAATATGAGAACATTATATCAAAACTTTTTAATGCATTAAGAAAAGTTAAAGATGAGGTTCAAGAAAATATCAATTTTAAGAAAAAATAAGTAATATTATAATTATTTTTACAAAGCTCTCCTGATTAAGTTATGCATTTATATAATTTAATGTATAAGGAGATTGATTATTTATATATCAAGTGGAATCTCTGTATTTTTTTAAAATGTGTTATTTTATAAATTTAACGAATTATTAATTTATCATGTTAGTTTCAAGTCAAAATCAATCAAAACTATTATTTAATCAAAATTATTAATTTATTGAGTATTAATTCATAAAAATTTTATTATAAGTCTTTACTATCCTTAAGTTTGAGAGAGTTTGATAAACACCTAAATATAAAGAGAGTAATTTAAGTTTAAGTGGGATAGTGGTAAGTTTAAAATTATTCTTATAATTTCTTTAATAAAATTTTCTCTTTCACTATGCCTTTGATGTAAGTTATCAAAAGGTTCCATACTTAATTTATTTTATTCTATTAATATGGTAAAATCTTTACGAATTCTTTTGATGTTATCTGTTATTTTCACAATAATTTCTCTCTTAATACATTTTTTATGCTTAAATTAAACTGAAATTTCCAATTTTACCGGTACAAAGAAAGGTGGCTTTTCTTAATTAAATTTTCCTGAGTAGAAAAATCCATCCAAAACACAACAAAGCTCGTAAGAGTATAAGTCCAAGCCAGCCCATATAAGTAGTTAACGCCCTTCCACCCCATTGAACATCCTAATTCCCTCACACACAAAAGAAAAAAGAAAAAAAAAAAACTTGAACACCCAAATTTGGCGTTCGTACGACCGAAAGATTCCTCTTCCATGGACTCAGCCGAAGATATTTTCGATTCATCGCTAAATCTAGAAGAAACCCATTATCAAGAAGGTTACGAAGAAGGCTACAAACACGGCATAGCAACCGGTAAAGAAGAGGCAAGGCACGTGGGTCTTAAAACGGGCTTCGAAACAGGCGAAGAGCTCGGTTTCTACAGGGGCTGCGTCGATGTGTGGAGCTCCGCCATCCAAATCGACCCGACTCGGTTTTCCACTCGGGTCCAAAAGGGTATAAAGCAAATGGGGGAATTGATCGAAAAATACCCAGTTGTGGATCCGGAGAATGAAAGCGTCCAAGAAATAATGGAAGCTTTGAGGCTTAAGTTTAGGGTTATCCGTGCAGCTTTGGGTGTTAAATTGGAATATGATGGGAACCCAAAACCCAAGGACATCGAATTTTGATTTGACATATTATTTAGGTATTGTAATTGCCACGTATCAAATGTTCTTGGGTTTTTGCTTTTTGTATAAGGATTGCGTAACAAATTTTTTGTTGAATCTCAAAGCCAATTATCTAAGCAGCCGTATTTTTTTCTGTATAAGGGAAGAGGAGTAATTAACCTTGGCAAATATACACCAATAATGTCGTTAAGCAGCTGTATGATTAGTATCCATATCAAGCACTTGATCCTGACTTCTTCTTTGATTGCAACCCAGTTTTTCATAAATCATTGAGTTGGCCTTGCCCCATATTTTAAGTAGTGCTAAAAGTTTCAAGCTTGATCCGTTCTCCTGTATGTTTGCATCCCCCTTTTTTTTTTTTTTCAGTTTGTCCTACATATTTTTCCCGTCTGGTTTCAATTGTAAGCAAACTGATTGTAGTTGATTGTTTGCAGACTTTGTGGTCCCCACTCCCCATAAACTATGGCTCCAGATATTCCTTTTATCTCATTTCATTATCTCTATCAATATAACCTTCTATTTTTTGGCAGCTCTTACAAGCTGAAAGAGGACCAGAAAACATATGTTGAACAAGATGCTGGCTTGTGGGAAGGTGTACATTTCTGAAAGCCGAAACAGAGCAGCTTTAGAGTTGATAGAACGAGCTGCTGCGAAGCTATTCCCTGAGGCTGCTATTGTGAACAAGTTTGTAGATGTGACTTACAATAGAGTTGGTTATACGGTTGTCTCCAGATTGACTCCAGAACCATCGCAAGATTCATTTCCTCTGAATGGTGCAGTGTTTGCCATTGTTAAGGCTGCTTTGGAAACCATCGACTTGGAGTTGCATTCTGGGACTCATCCTCGACTTGGAGTTGTTGATCATATATGTTTTCACCCCTTGGGACAAACTACCTTGGACCAGGCAGCTGCAATTGCAAAGTCCTTGGCAGCAGATATAGGCTCCAAACTTCAAGGTTTCTGCCTTTTGAACCAAACGTCATGTAGATGTTGCCATTACTAGTGTTAAAGTAGTAACTGGAACTCTTAAGAAATGATTACGCAAAAAATTTTGTTGGCTTGCCATATTGATGTGAATAGTGAGTTTATGACTATCCCGGAGCCTGGAAGGATTCCCTTTTTTTTAATAAACTATTCTGTAAGATTACAGTCAGGCAGAGTAAACACAGATTTAAAGTTGGCATTTTTTTGTTACTTTAGCATAGTTTTTTTGGTCTTTTTAAATGACTGCAACGAACAATTGCACAATCTCTTTCCCTCTGGAGTAGGCCAGAGGCATGGTCTGCACGGTACTAACTGTGGAGAGTTCCTCTTTCCACATCGGAGCTGTAACATCCAATCAATATGGATTTTTCTAGATTTTCTTTACTGATTTAGTATCATTGTATCATCTTTGTCACCTCGCCCATCTTTATTGGAAGTTGAAAAATGGTCTCTTGGAATCAAAGTTTTGTGTATAAAGAAACTGCATTTTCCTGAGACTTCCTATGTGTGCATTATCTTTTCAAGTTACATGGGATTGTGATTTTTTTTTGGGTGGTGATAATTATTTAAGCTAATATTATTTATTTGTCTGCTCCTAAAAAATTTTACCCTATGTATTGCTGATGACCTTAAATGGTAACTGCAGTACCTACATTTCTTTATGGAGCTGCCAATGAAGGGGGAAGATTGCTTGATTCAATCAGAAGAGAACTGGGTTATTTCAAGCCTAACCCTGGCGGTGTTCAATGGTCCGGAGGGACAAGATCAGAGTCCTTGCCCCTGAAGCCTGATGCAGGTCCAGCTCAAGTGTCTTCAGCAAAAGGTGCTATTATAATTGGGGCAAGCCATTGGGTTGGTAACTACAACGTCCCTGTGCTCTCAACTGATATCGCTGCTGTTCGTAGAATTGCTAAACAAGTGAGTGAGAGAGGAGGTGGACTTCCTTCAGTGCAAGCCATGGGACTTGCACATGATGATGGTGTGACTGAGGTGGCCTGTAATTTGTTGGAACCAAGTAAAGTTGGAGGAGATAGAGTTCAGCTTGAAGTTGAGAGGCTTGCAAAGGAAGAGGGTTTGAGTGTAGGGAAGGGGTATTTCACTGATCTTTCACAGGACAAGATAATTGAAAGTTACATTAAATTGAGTTCTTCCTAACTATCGGATGAAATATGGTCTTGGAGGTATTTTTGTTCTAATCATGTATCTCATGTTTTCCTGCAATTCTGTTGCGTCATAAATTTGTTGTGATCCTATGAACAATAACATTCGTCACTTACATTTGCAAGACTGCCGGTTGTTTGACAATTTGTTTCTCTTCTGTTCAGGTTATGAAATTGCAGTTGTTATAAAACGAGAGACAGCAGAACGCAAGTATTCTTTTAGATGACTAGGGTCTGAAGTTTAAGTCAGAAGTTAATTAATTTTGTTGGTGCTATTAAATATTCAGACATGCTGATGAACTTCACCATATCAGAGTAATGTTACAACCATATCACTTTTAAATTTCATCTTACCTTTTTTTTTTGCAAAGAGAGAAATGCTTGTTCCTGTGTGAAGGGGAGAGTTGTTTAGAAATTTTGCTACATTCTTGCAATCAAAATTATTAGTGATGGAAGAGGTGCAACAGTCAGATTTATGCTTGCAGTATTCATGGGCTAGTGCGTTCCGCATGATTGAACCTTAAATAAGATATTGATTTCACAGGTGGATTAGAAATATTATGCTAACCATTTTTAACACTTAAAAGCTTTAAGTGCAAAATGAAGGGGAATATGTTAGGTTTCTTGTCAAGTTGAAGCCTTGATGGGCAGAACAGAAGAAAAGATTGTCTAACACCTTTACATTACAAGCCAGCTACCCAAGCTGTGCAGACCAAAAGATTGTTTAAATTTTCCGATGTATTACAAAGACAATAGATCCCTAGCACTTACAATGCTTTTTTCTTCCTTTTCGAATTTATAGTTAAAAGTTATGAAGGGTGGAGAGGGGTAAGGGAGGATATGAACTTTGCATGTAATATTATAGGACAACATTTAGCTGGATATTGTGATTATCCAAGACTCAATGATTTGGGTAATGAATCACCTGTGGTTAACTGGGTTTCAAAAGTACCCATCATTAAACTAATTATCATTTCATTAATCTTGATTATTTTGTTCTAATGTGTTATGCAAACATCATGCAAAAATTAATGCAACTGATCAATGTAAATATGCAGTACATGGATAGACATTCCTCTCTGAAGTTTACTTCAAATATTACTTCATCTTGCTTGCTTGCTTTCAGAACAAGATGACAGGCGCTGTACAGTCAACAAGCATGACAGTGATAGTATTGTTGAATTATCTGTTCTGTATACATAGTTTTAGTCGGTTGGCAGGTTAGTGAAATAAGGAATTGCATTCAACGTCAGAAAAGAAGACTTAAACTACACGATCCTTATCTTCACCTGGAATATTAATGTCAGATATTTGACAGGAGCTGTTCATCCTTTATAAAAGTCTAACCATTCTTGTCCTTTCCCAATTCAACTTATTCCATTTAATTGAGTTGTAATATGGTTGAAGATGATTTCAGATTGGAAAGGAAGCATAATTTGCATCCCAAACAACCACTTGTCAGACTTGCTCTCGCTAAAATGATCAGCTCTAAGCTCCAAGCAACTCAAATAATGAGTACATGCCAAGACAAGGCGTACGTACTCGAGAATCATGATCAATAATAATAATAAAAAATATCTTTAATGTGTGAAGTAGATTGGTCAGAGTCACATGTCTTTCGATTAAAAGACTCACCAAACTCTATCCACGTCTATGTGCTCTCCTGTCAACCCGTGGGCACTTAATTTTATTTCGGTCATCCGCGTATTGTACAGGAAGGGGGTGAAGCGGAGCCGTTTCTGACCTCCTCGGATACCATTTTCGTACCCGAAAACGTATGCCGAAAGCCACGGTTTTGGATGCGTCTGGTTTGGGTTTTTTCCTCTGATGTGACACCCATGGCCTATTCATTTTTATTAACATCTGTGGCATTTGGAGCACCAATTGCAATTCATTTCTTTCTTTTAAATCATTTGTGTCTCGTATAAAATCTATTAAAATATTTATATAAAATTCACATTTATAAACAATCTCTCTCTCTCTCTCTCTCTCTATATATATATATATATAATTATTAGGATTATAATAATAAATTTGGCAGGAAAAAAACGTTTTTGTTTATCTCTATGGATGAGGATTTTGTGTCAGACTTGTTATGGAACAAGTATCTTTGTATGCTGCTCTCCAAATGTCCACATGCTGAGTCATAAGTAGAGATGCAAGCATTTTTTCAAAACAAATTATAGTCAATGATGTCATGTGCATCATATAAGGATTTGTCTCCGGAGTCCTGAGAAGAAGGCTTCAACTGGCAAGATAAAGAGGCAAGCCCCCTTTGGCTCTTGTAGTATTTGCTAGGTGCTAAGGTGTTTGATTGGGAAAGTTAGGGGTTGAAGATGAGAAACCAAGAGCAGAGGGATGGAATGGATCTTAGCTCAAGTTGCAAGGTAAGGCCCTGCTGTTTCTAACTCCACATTGACCACACATCACTACATCTCTTCGCCTTTTTCTTGGGAAATGCTGGGAGGAGACCAGAGGTAGGTGGTTTAATTAAAAGGCATGTATTCTTTGTTGTTCATGAGACAACAGGGTGATTTACTGTTTCCGCTTTGGAAAAGAGAAACAGATGATCGGTGATTTACTAATTCTTTTTCCAGCCCATCCCTCCCTTCCTCCTCCTGGTTTTTTCAGTTTCCAGCGTATCCAATTCAATTGTGAGCCTTAACTATTAATTGGTTCTAGCTATGGAATTTTCAATTCCATGCTGAATTTTGCTACTCAGGACAGCATTTTTTCCCCTAAAACAGGGTTAACCATTCGTGGAAAAGACCCATGAATCTTATGCATTTCACTCTAATTTTACGGTTTCATGTATAATTTGTAACTGGTAGGAGATACTATTGCAACGTATGATAAACATTTCTAGAAAACAAACTTGGCCTCCACTTAGCTGGACCTGATCTAAATCAAACTCACAAAGCTTTCCGTCTGCTTTAAAAGAACATAATCTAAGGTTTTGTGATAAGTTTCTCCTTTTTTTCACCAGAACACAAAGGCTGCAAATCAATCCATGCTGCTATGCTGCAAGATCTTTTTCTCTGAATCACGTAACCGTGCAGCACTTGATGCCATAGAAAGAGCTGCAAGGCTAGACCCAGAAACTGTCGTTGTGAACAAATTTGAGGATCGAGCGTACAACAGGAGCCGCTACACTCTTGTTTCATATGTTGTTCATGACAGCACTGGTAATGCTATTTATAGCCCCTTGCAACGAACTGTCCTGACCATGGTTGAGGCTGCTTATGGAGCCATAAACCTTGAGCTGCATTCTGGCGCACACCCTCGGCTCGGCGTGGTTGATGACATTGTTTTGCATCCCTTGGCTCGGTCATCCTTAGATGAAGCAGCTTGGCTTGCTAAGGCGGTCGCCGCAGACATTGGCAACATATTGCAAGGTTGCTCCAATTCTGCTATTTAAATTGTGGTTATTTCATCCAAAATTCCTTGTTGCAAAAGGATCCATTCATAATGAAATTCAAATTTCAAGACATTTCATATTCTGTCCTGAATTTATCATTTTATTTTGATGTTGTCGCAGTGCCAGTTTTTCTCTACGGTGCAGCACATCCAACAGGCAAGGCCCTGGACACCATCAGGAGGGAGCTTGGTTACTTCAGGCCCAATTTCATGGGCAATCAATGGGCTGGATGGACTATGCCTGAAATTCTCTCCGAAAAGCCCGATGAAGGCCCAACCAGCGTATCTCGTGCTAGAGGCATCACCATGATCGGGGCATGCCCATGGGTTGGACTGTACAACGTGCCTATCATGTCTACAGATGTCTCCGTCGCTCGCCAAATTGCTAGGATGGTGAGTGCCCGAGGCGGCGGGCTCCCGACAGTGCAAACACTGGGCCTTGTACATGGTGAGGACTCCACCGAGATAGCTTGCATGCTTCTGGAGCCTAACCGGATTGGAGCGGACAGGGTCCAGTCCCGGGTTGAGATGCTGGCAGCCCAACAAGGTTTGGATGTGGAACAGGGCTATTTCACTGATTCTTCACCTGAAATGATTCTTGATAAGTATCTAAACCTAATTTCCGCTGACAGAGCTTAATCGAACCAAGGGTGCAATTGACACTTCACATAAATGTTGTATTGCATAAAACTTTTAACCTCGTACAACTTGTATTTAATTTAAGCCATTCTCAGCTGAGTTTTTGTACTGTGTTTAGGCCTACAACCCCAAAAGCTGCATACTTGAGGATATTCTGTCCGTTGCGTTGTAACAGTCTATTTATTTACACAAATTATATTCAAAAATTTGGAAATATGTTGGAGAGTAGACAATGTTATAAGCTTGAATGTTCATTTTCGTATGTGAAGAAACAAAAATTTTTTCTGCCACCCTTATGACAATTATGAAGTATGAATCCAGCCATTTACACTTGGGGTTATCCGACTCTTTACCACCATCATGAACACTGCTTCTTCCGAAAATCCTCAGATAGTAGCGTCTTTAGGAGTTCCTGCAGCCTCTCAGCACCAGGGCCTGGCCTAAACACAGAATCATCACCACGCACATAACATGGGTCAGCTCCACCTTCTGAACTCCCGACACACCATGCTCCAGGCGCAAAACGGCCAGTACGGCCCAAAAGCTCTTTATCAATTTTGTCCAACACTGGATCATTCTTATGGAACTTCCGAGCAAATGGCGCCTTGCTTGTCACCATTTTGTCAAAGTATTTCATTGACAACGAGATTGGATGTTGCTTTGGAGGACTGTCCCAAGCAATGTAGTGGAGATCATGGCTTATTGCAGTGCCACGAAATTCGTCAGTGTTGCAAATAACAGTATGGAAGTACCCTTCTGGAGAGGAAACGAAATTTGTATAGTACATAAGCATGGTTCGTGGGAGATTATCCCATCCCCATATACAATACTCAACAAAAGTTCTAGTAAGTGCTACCCACGCAGAACCTGCACACAGAACAAAGGCAAAACAAGCATTTAAAATTTTTTTCATACATTGAGACATCTAGTTCCGGATTTAAATGAATAAAAAATGCAATGTTATCTTGTTAATATGCATATTGAAAAGTGAAAAAAAGCTCAGACAAGGAGGCCAGCAAAGTCAGAAAAATAAAACAATCCAAACTCCACATTTAAAATCCCCAAGAGACTTTGCTAGGAAGCTCATGGGAAATGTTCAGAAGGTTTGGTTATTCAGATCAGCATTCAACCCTAGAGAAGAAATTATGGGAGATAGAGAAGTAAATAATGATTCTTGAAGCTCTGAGTAGTCGGTAGATGATTTAAGATGTACTATCTTAACCAATTTATGGGCAGGATTCTAAGTGAATGATTTCTTTGTGGTATTTAAACTTTCCCAATAGGCTGAAACTGAAAGAACTCAAGACCCAGGGGAGCAAACTGATAAGAGAGATTCTCCTATTTGTTATTCCCAGAAAGAGAAGGAAGTTTCATCAGTTTCTTTTAAAGATGTAGTGGATTAAGTTACAGCTAAATAACAGCTATAGTTCAAAATAATTAAATGCCAGTTCAATTAAATGTATAAAACATTTAGGATAAATCACGACGACATATTGACCTCTAGCACTGCTGACAAGAAACTGAAAGGACTGCAGTACTTCACCAAGTTGATTTGCGATGAGTTAGCTGTGACACTTATAAGCAGTCACTATAAAAGAGCATATGACAAAAAGATATGTCCTCCATCGCTGGTCTCACCCACCTAAAATCTACTCTCCTTCCTCTCAATGGTCCATGTAGAACATCAAGCATTTAGTTAAATAGGATTTGAAGCAGCAGTGAGAGAGCCAGCTGCTTGGAAATTTCCCATGCAGCTTGGTCAAGCTGATGCCAAAGCAGTAAGCAATCATTGAGTGTTAGGAGTTAGGTTAAGGCTCAAGTAGGTTGGCTTAGCCAAACTTCAAGCAATAGCAAGTTTAAGGTGATCTTTCAACCTTTCCTATAGTCTCTGGCAAAAGCAATGGATGGAGAAATCAGAAAGTGACACACAAGAAGAATGATGGAGTACACCCTCATGTTTGCAACTATAAGCACTTAAAGCCTGATTGTAGGCTCTAGCCCCAGGCAAAAACATTGCTTTAATAGTTTTTACTCTGAAAATCAACGGCTAATTGAACTTTAATTAGGCCAGGAAGGAATTCTAACATAGAAGACTTGATTCTAAAATGCAAAAAGAAGTTTCTTTCTCCAAGCAATAACTTGTGGTTTGGGCCAACCCACAACACTCAGTGAGACCATTCCATTCCAGCATTTACTACAAGCAAAGCAAATGCAACTTAAGTCTTAAGCTCAAAAGACGAAATAGTATACAAGAGCCTTTTTTGGAACATTAACTTCAGCTGATACCAGATCAGGCTTAAGACAAAAACTACTATTTGGGATTTCATGATAACACGATTAACATAAATGAATTATGACCTTTAATATAACAAAAGGTGGATGGCAAACAATCTACCTATGATTAGAGAAAGTCTTGGGTATGGTGTGCTAAAAAAAAACAATAAAGTAGAAATGATAACCAACCTGTATATAACTTGAAAGATGTGGGCAGTGATCGGCGTTGTGTGGTCCAAGCAATGTCAGACTTTTTGGACAAGTAAAGGCCTGGATCAACAATGATTGGTTTTGCTCTCTGGTTCCTGCAAAAGCACAGAAATACACATTTAAACAGGTGACATTAGGGAATACAAAGAGCAATATTCGAGAGTAGCGAATATACTAGGCATTAATCTTACAGCTTCCAACCAGTAATCTGCATATGTTCAATGAAATTGAGATTTCTTGACAAATTGGAGAAAACATGTAGCAAATCTGCACAATCGGAACACATATCAGATATTCTTCAGCACACAAGCAACAGAACTCTAAGTTTCTGAAAACACTCCAAAACTCAATAACAAATGCATGTCATAATGATAAAAAGAAACATATTGATGGAACTCTTTCAAACATTGAAACCCATAAATGAACCTAACATTATTGTTCAAGTGGCAATCATTCGAGCACTCAGACGTCTCTCAAATAGGCCTATGCAAAGGCCAGGTAGCAGAAATTCACAAAAGAGGCAAGCTAATGTCTAAAAACACAGTCAAAGATGCATAAGAAAATCTCATGCAATTATGTTGATTAAGCAGACCTGCAGAAGCTCCATTGTAGAAGTCAGCTCATTCAAAAAGTCTCTAGGGTTGAGTGCAATCTAAAACTCATTAGACAATTGATTGAACCCCCTCATAAAATCATTTTCAGTAGAACTTAAGATAAAAATTTCCATACTCTTTAAAATTCAATTTCAAAGTCTAGACCTTAACTTAAAACTTCCCCTAGAATCAGGAAAGTAGCTCAAAAGGGCCATATATATGCATAACCAAGTTTATTTGTATTATAATTGCTGTAAAGAATTCACGTACATTGTGAGAAAAAAAAAGGTGGTAGCAAGCAAAGTTCTCAGACCAATTTAGAGCTAAATTTCATGCTATATGCATAGTAATGTTCCTAAATACATTGAACCTATAGAAAAGCCCTCATAATGACGAAAAGACAAGATAGCAACAATAGCAACAGCCTTGATAATGAAAAGATAAAGAGAAAAAGTCTTGAGCACTAACCATCTTGAGTCACAAGGGGATAATCTGAGGCACTAAGGTTCAGAAACCAATCCCACTCCAAGCTCTCCTTCAACAGTATTGCAATTGCTTGAAGGGTGCAAGCAATCATTGTAGGACCTTTGTATGTTACCAAGTTAGATTGTGCCATTACGCGCACATTCTCCACTTCACGAAAAGTTGGATCACCCTTCACCATATTTGTCAATTCCAACCTTTCACGGGGAGGAGCCTCAAGATCCAAATGCAAAACATACTGATTTCTTGGATGGTACACTGCCTGCAAGGTCCTCATCATCCTATGACTATCTCCCTTTGTCCCTGAAATAAGATATGCTAGTCTAGGTGCTTCCACATTTGAATAGCCACTTGTGTTAAACGATTTCTTCAAATCTGATTCTACAAAATACCCACTAGAGTCCTCCGCTCTTGCAAAGGAAATAAGGTCAAATGGCAACTGGTCTCCACCATAAGGAGCATTGAACAACCCAAAAATGGCAGATAAAAACAACGTAATCGATACAAGTAAGCTTGCAAGAAATGGAATAATCCATTTTCTATCACTAAACACCCTTCCCGAATGAGAATTGACATTTTTCCTCACACTTGTCAATGGGTTTCTCATCAACACCAGTTTCCTGTAGAGCTTTCTCATTTTGGGTAATAAAACCCAAAATCTTCAGGCCTCCAGGTTAGGTCACGAACCCAAGATACGTGAAGAATCAAGCACAACGCACCAATGTTACTAAGAAATAGGGCCAAAAAGAAGCAGGGAGGTCCGGAAAGAGAACCAAAACCGCCTTCTTAAGTGTATGAAAAACATTTAACCTGAGGCCTAGTTTTCTTCAGAAGAAAGCATGGGTTTCAAGCAAAAAGATCATTTCATTGATATGAAGTAGAGAAGTATCAATACAAAAAAGAACCCAAATTCCATATGAAGATATAAATAACCAGAGAATGGGTTTAAAAAGAAGGACATTCAAGAGAAGTTTGCGGTAGAAGCTCAACGTTGGTTAATCAACTCAAAAATAGCACACCAAATGCAAATTGGGGAAAGATATTTACAGGCTAATACAGCATGAAACAGTAACCGACACAAAAGAATTCAAGAAAAAAGTGTAACAGTCAGATTTAGCATGCAGTAAATAGAAAGCAGCTTTCTGCCCCTAAACTGCCCCCAGATCTAATTACGAATCAATCCCAGAATATCGAGAATTAAGAAACAGAAAAGAAAATATACTTAGAGTCTAAGTTTTCAGATACTTCAGATACACGAGAGTTCAAAAGGGAGAGGTACAGCAGCTTACTTTGAAACAAAAATGACCCAGAAAAGGATATGAAGAAAGTGATGAGGAAATATAAGTGCTTACTCAATAGAGAACGATTGTGAGACAGAAGAAGAAAAAAAGTTGAAGCTTTTACTTCAACAGCTTCTGAGCTTTGAGATTGAAAATGAAACAGAGAAACTAGGGATATCGAGAGAGAGAAAGAGAGAGAAAGAAAGAGGTGATCGAGATTTCAGCTTTGATTTGCTGCTTTGCTTTCATTGATGGCAAAAACATGGATTTAATGCTTTAGTTTTTTGCTGGAGTGAAGATTATTCACGTAAAGTAATCCATGTGGTTACCACTGTTGTACTCTCCCAGAATACGCGTGAATTGCACTTCCCAACAACTCTCCACCCAATCACCAAACTACGCTGCCCTTTGCGAGTGGGGATTATAAACAACCGAAGAAGATCTTCTTATACAAAACACCGTCAACTGCGGGCAACTTCCGCTTAAAATTTTTTGAGGCAGTTTTGAACTCTGAACAGTGTTGTCTCTGTTGCGCGGCGTTGGTGCATTAAATTGATGTGAGCCCCACGAAGAAGGCTTGCCTACACGGCTACACCAACCTTTAGATTCTGCACACGTGGCAATGTTATCATATCATAATACAAGTCAGATTGTGCAGGGGGCGTGTGGACCATCGGATTTGAAGGAAGGCAGAGCCGAGGCTGGATTTTTTCTTTTCTTTTTAAGTAATAGGGGAAAGAATAAAACAAATTTAATTACATCCCTTATACGCCTAAACAAGCGAAAATTCTGCCTTGAAGAAGAATTTCTTATTCTTGATGCCTAGTATTATTTTTCACGTACATCAATACATTTACAGTGGAAAGTCCCTACAGTCTCTACACATTAAACGATGAATGAACTAAAGGATTTAATCAAATCTCTACTTAATGCTTATAAATTGTAATACGTCTGTGGCCATATAAGTCGTGGAGATAGTAAGGAATATTCAGACAAGTTGACTATGGAGATGGTAGCAATATTCCTTTTTTATTGAATGCGATCAATCAATTACGGTTGAATAATAGTAATTGATTGAATGTAGTAGCAAACAAGTTTCGACCAATCTGACCATCCTGGGAATTACTGCTTGTTTTCTGAGTTAATTTCCACCATTAATAAAATTGAACAGAAACCAATGGTGAGCAAAGTGTATAGGGTAGGGACAACGTGCCTTTCAAGACCTAACGTTTATCAAACAATTACCTTTAAAGCTTTTATGGGCGTATATATAGTTTGGTTGAAAACTTTAGATGGTGATGGTGACGGTGACGGCCCTACAATTCAGTTACGCCCACCGGAAAAACTAAACCATTGAAACTTGCATGAACAATGCTTATTACAGTATAAGTTTAATTCATATATAATTCCGATAATTTATAAAGAATTTATCATATATATATATATATATATATATACCTACTATTATAAAAGAAAAAGAAAAAGTCTTTTTCTTTGTACAGTTTTGAGCATGCAGATGATTTGTACTCGTTTATGCATATTAGTTAGTATTATTTATCCCGTTTTCCTTCTTGTTCTTTTCATTGTATTAGCATTTAATAGTTAGCAAAATCAATTGAACAAATGTGGGTTGCATGGTTTTTTATTGGATAAGAAGTTGGGAATGGAGAGGAATAGGGTTTGACTGTCATTTTA